TACCCCACCACTACCTCTGTAATGTCTAGACATGGAAGTGTCTCTGGTGCTATTAAGTAGAAGTCTGGAGTTATCTCCACAGCTTGTTACTTTCAATGAATGGCTGGTCTGTGAGTCAAGGTGACATTGTGGGTGAGGATAGGGGTGTCAACGTTAAAGTACATTTACCTGAAGTTTAGTATGCACTTCCGTAGGGGATCACACCTATTGTCGACATTTGATAATTTAAAGGGATAACAACTGGTCGAATGATATCCATATTTCACAATAAATACATTGTAAACAACTCATAGAAATGGGAAAATTGTCCTTTACCTCAGGAAAATCCATTTTTTGGCCAAAATGAACAGTTCGTTATCCCTTTAATTTGCCCATATTACAGATGCCAAATGAGGTTGCTTGTTATGTTATTTAATAAGTTACAACATGGAAAAGGCTATTTGTAGTAAATATGTGAGTTCATGAAGCCTTTAAATAGTGCACTGAACAGTTTCTGTACATGTTGAGAAGAAGATTTGGAAGTGTGTGTCTCATTATCGCTATCAATGTGTCAACATTAATGTGACCATGATGTGAACTTTGCCACTGCCGCCGTAAGTCACTTAGCAGATAAAGTGGATCACCTTGTACGGAAAAACTGATGGAAAATTTTTGCCATAATTTAGGTAGTTTGAAATATTGGGAAGGACCTTGAAAAAGCTTTTAACACGTGGAAAAGGGAAAAGAAAATTGAACTCGTTCTGGGTCTTAATAAATAAGTTCGAGAAAGATGGAGTGTTTAATATGAAAACAGCTGATAGGAAATGTATTTTAAAAAGATTTTTAGCACTTAACAGGTGTGAAGCTATCATTTATCTTTCTTAATGTCTGCACTAATACCTATAATGTTAATTACATTATGTAATGTATGCTTACCTAAGTAAGCAAAAAAACATCCAGACAAACTCACCAACATCATCATATATTTTTCAGTCTCTTCTGTATTTTAGATACCTGACCTCATTGAGATTAATTATCGAATATTCTCATCGAGGCTTTTTGGAGAGGGTTTCTGTGCTTATGGGGTGAAAATGCACTTTTTCACAAAAAGACTCCCCCTACCCCCTTTTGAAATTACTTGCTATAGGCCTTTGAATGCTGGGTCAGGCCCTTCATAGTGATAGGTATTGAGTTTTGTTCAAACGGTCAGGCCTTACGGAAATGTGTGTGGCTTTAGCAGAAATTCATGTTTGGTAAAAGTGACGCTGGTTCTACGAGAAACCCTAATTTATTTCCAGGACACACAAAAAGTAATTTATTTTTAGGAAACACAAAAAGTAGAAAGTGTTCCTGTGAAATTGTATACTGGTAGTTAGATTTGATGCACAGATATAAGAGATAAAAGATAAACACAAATTACCTTTACATCACATACTATCCAGTGTTTTTGATCTTTGTTTTTGAAGCTGCACCTTCAAACTGTGACTATTTTGACTGTGATACAAGTTTTTATCTGCTCTGATCATCTTTAAATAGTATTGGGACATTTTAGAAAAAAAATCTTCATTAATTAAAATATAATAAATTATCTAAATTGTTATAACTTATTCATTCAAATGAAATTTTTCTCAGTTTAAAATGCATCTATGTGTAATAATTGTGCATTTTAAGATCAGGATTAAATTGAAAGGCATAATGGCTTAGGTCTCATTGGTCACCTGACCTCTTATTGTCCAATCAAAATACCTCACGTCCTTCCACAATGCTAGGTGTCGTGATTAATGATTATAAATTTTGATGTAATTTCTCATTGCAGTGGTTCTAAGCAAAATTTCTTTCATATTGAAATTCATATATCATGTTTGAGGAGAATATGAAGTTATAAGTTTTTAGCTTTTGTAGTAACTGAGAAAACTTACAGGTACCAAAATCATGTGGGAAGGACAAATTGATATGAATTAATCCACTATTT